TTTCGCCCCCTATAGTCAGCGATGGTGTCAGCTGACTATGCCGAGGCGCTGGCAACCACAGCCACTCGGTCTTGGAAGGGTTGAGCCTGAGTCTGTTCCTCCCCATCCAGACCCGTACGGCCTCCAGGCAACGGGCCATCACGTCAAGGGCAACGTTGGGGTGGTCTGGGGTGGAAATGTACAGCTGAGTATCGTCAGGATGGTTGGGCTGTTGTGTCTGCTCCCTGCAGAGGGTGGGCCAGCTTCAAACATGGGACGCTTCAAAAAGGGAAGACATAAATTAACAAAATAAGCTGCTTCTAGGAAGGCTTTGAAAGAGACTTCAGCCACTGAGCCATTCCCTTCTCTTTACCTGGGTCGAGGTCCGGGCGTATTGTGGGAACGCAGCCATGCCCTCCCTTAAGGAGGATGCTGGGAGCTGTTCATTCCTGCAGGTTCTGAAGGGAAGTGAGAAAAACCTGGCTCAGGAAAAGGGAAAGTCAGCCTGTCAACAGGAGCCCCCAGACCCAGAGGAGGTGGGGGGGGAATCCCCTTGTCTGAATACCCAAAGAGGAGGGGGCCAATCAGCCACGTATCCGGGGTTCTTTCCTTTGGATTTCTGCACTGAGCAGGGGCTGGGCTGGATGACCTCAGGGAACATTCCAAATTTCAGGAGCCTCTCTGTGAAATCTCTCTTGGCAGCTTGTAAATCCACAGTCAGATTAAAATTGTTTTGTGCAAACAGGCTCCTTCCTGGTGGCTGGACCACCATTTCCCTTCTTAAGCAAAGCCATTTCTCCCACCCTTTGCCGTCCCCCCCAAAGAAACCCCCCCTTTTCCTGGCCTATAAATGCCTCCCTTCCCCTCGCAGGAGGGAAGCCTGGAGTTGCTACCTGTGGAGGCCAAGGGACAGGGGAGTGCGGCTCTCCCACCTGTGGCCATCGGACAGGTGAGGCCCCTAAAGCAGATGGCTCCTCTTTCTCTCTCCTCTTTCTCCTTCTCTCTCTCTCTGTCTTTCTCTTTCCTTCTCTCTCTCTTTCTCTTTCCTTCTCTCTCTCTCTCTTTCTCTTTCTCTCTCCTTTCTCCTCTCTCTCTCCTTCTCTTTCTCTCTCCTCTTTCTCCTTCTCTCTTTCCTTCTCTCTCTTTCCTTCTCTCTCTCTCTCTCCTTCTTTCTCTCTGCTCTTTCTCCTTCTCTCTCTCTTTCTCTTTCCTTCTCTCTCTCTCTCTTTCCTTCTCTCTCTCTCTCTCTTTCTCTCTCCTCTTTCTCCTTCTCTCTCTCTCTCTCCCTCCCTCCCTCCTTCTCTCTCTCTCCTTCTCTCTCTCTCTCTGCCCACCCGAAGGGACCTCTTGTGGGTGTCCCACAGGTGATCAGCCAGTCGGTCATTGGGGGCTTGAGCAGTTTGGGGGCACACAGGAGTCGAGAGGAGATCCCTTAGGACAGACCCACCTGATCCCCCTTCAACAGCCTGGCTGCTTCCTTCCGCAGAAACTGCAATTTCGGGGGGCTTTCAAGGGCGGCCCCACATCAAGGATGCTGCAAAGGGGGGGATAATTCTTGCTAGGTCCGAATGGCTCAGGGAGCTTCACGGTTTTTATTGCAGTATTTGCATCCCACCTTTATTATTTCTGCAAAGAATTCAAGGAACCCAGCAGAAATCCACCCCCTGCGCCAGATCTGCTTCTCTCCCCCCCCCCAAAGGGACCTCTTGTGGGCGTCCCACAGGTGATCAGCCATTTTAGGGCTTTCTCCTTTCGCTTTTGCTGCTCCTCACTGAGGCCTGCTGGAGGATGGCTTACAGCCCTCCCCCAATCCTCCCTCCACAGAAAGACCTCCATTTTTAGGGCCCAGGAGAGAGATAACTCGACTCATTCAGGCCAGGCACAGGAGATCCTCCTCCCACTCAAGTAACAGCAACGGGTTGTCTTCACAGGCCCCAACCTCCCTCAGGTTCACGAAGAAACTGTCACCTCAGAAAAGTTTACTACTAGTAGTAGCAGTAGCAGTAGCAGTAGTACGGGTGCTTCTGGGACCATAACCTACCAGGGAATATCGCAGCAGCTGTCCAAATGGAGTCAGAGGCGCTGACGCAAACTTGTAGTTTTATATAAATAAATATATTCCACATTTATATATAAAGCAGACAAGATAATCAGGCCAACAGAAGCATCCTGAGGTAAATCTCAGGGCATACAGAGCGAAAGAAAAAAGGCGGGAAAAGATGG